TATTTGTTCTTATCAAGTATGTTCTTATCAGTTTTGAAAAAAAATCACGATTTTCCACGAGTCGATTACACCGTCGGGCGTAGAACCTCCAACAATCCTAAGAAGATACGAGTTTCTTGCTAGTCTTGTGCCGGTGAATGATACTATCATCTTATGGTTCATCAGGTCCCATGAGTGGGTCATGATGTCGTGGGATGAAATATCATTCCGCTTTACCACCGGCGTGCCTTTGTCATCACTGCTCTAAGCCCCAAAAACAAAATCGATCTACTTGCGACCTTACTTGATGGTTTCATATATAGCAAAATGCTATATATAGGTACTTATGTGTCAGACATAAACACCAAAAATCGAACCAAGAAGCAAGGAAAAAAAAATAAAAATGGAGATGAGATAAAGGAGGAACTGATCCACCCAAAAGATCGAAAAGGCGAAGGGTGAATCAGTCCTCAGAACTATAACGAAAAGACCTGAAAATGAGGGCCCAAGATCCTTGAATCAACCCAAATAAAAAGATATTATTTTCTCAAATTTCATAAATGGATCAACCCAAGAAGGATCCCTTCCAAATCTTCTTTCGAACAGGTTGAAACGAGCCCGAATCAATCTGATAATTGTATACGCGTCTCCACCGCCACCTATATATTCACACACCCAAGCCTGAACTCAAATGTAGCATTTATGTTATCCAAATTTTAATGTCGAACCTCCAAACTCTTCCCAAACGACAATTTTATGAGTTTTCAAATCCTTTCATGTATCCAATTTATATCAACTTTATGCTTTCCCAAAACAAAGTTTTAAGAGTCTTTCAAATTTCACAAATCGAATAAAGGAATGTAATCCACAAACGACCACCTTCAAAGTTCCCAAAATCTTGCAAACAATAAAATCGTCTAATTCTAACTCCAACCAGAAGCTTTCCATGTTATATAAGCATGAAATCATCCACATAAAATCATATAAATGCTGACGGCTAGGAGCAGCAGAGAGGGGCAAACACCATCGCCAAATTGCCACATAAAGAAGTCACAAGGTAAGGCTCACGGCCAGGGGCAGCAAGAAGAAGACCACCAGCCCAACTTATCACCTAAAGAAATCACATGATAAGGTTCACGGCCAAGGACAGCTGAGAGGGACAGCTACCACCACCACCAATTTAAGCTCACGGGTAGGGACAGTAATTAAAAAGAGCCAAAACCAATACAAATCTTAGGCCAAACCGAACCCAACATAGGGGAAAAAATAGAATATATCAGCTGAACCGAGCCTAATTTCAGGCCAAACTGAACCCAGTAAAAGGGCTAAAGCAAGCCTAGCAAAGGGGCTAAAATAGGAAAGAATTTAAGCCAAAACGCAACCCAAAAGGAGCCAAACCGAGCACATCAAATGGGTCAAAACAGAGAAACATTCCAGGTATAATCCAATCCAGAAAAAGAGCCAAAACCAATACAAATCTTAGGCCAAACCGAACCCAACATAAGGGACAAAATAAAATATAATTTCAGCTGAACCGAGCCTAATTTCAGGCCAAACTGAACCCAGTAAAAGGGCTAAAGCAAGCCTAGCAAAGGGGCTAAAATAGGAAAGAATTTAAGCCAAAACGCAACCCAAAAGGAGCCAAACCGAGCCCATCAAATGGGTCAAAACAGAGAAACATTCCAGGTATAATCCAATCCAGAAAAAGAGCCAAAACCAATACAAATCTTAGGCCAAACCGAACCCAACATAAGGGACAAAATAAAATATAATTTCAGCTGAACCGAGCCTAATTTCAGGCCAAACCGAACCCAGCAAAAGGGACCAAAAACAGAGAAACATGCAAGGTAAACCGAGCCCATCAAGAGGGGCAGAAACATGACAAAATTCTAGTCAAAACGCAACCCAATAATAAAAAAAAAACTAAACCGAACCCATCAAATGGGTCAAAACAGAGCCATCAAAATTAGATTTCATAAAGCCTTAAGCCTCAAAATTTTTGCACTCCAGCATGTGTTTCAAACAAGAATTGGTAACAGGAAACATATAAGTATAATGGATCCCTAAAGCCAATATTTCTCAGCATTCAAATGAATTCCAACATTTACTTGATTAGGAATAACAATAATAAAGGACTTCAACATTTCATTTCTAGCATGTCTAAGTAAGTAAATATCATCACAGAGCAATAACTATAGCTTTCCAAAATTTTATCTATAATGTATCTCTAGCAGAAAAAGAGAAGGCAGTCATATCATGCTTCATCTTATTGATTCTAGAAATTATCCATGATTAGATCTCAAAACAGGCCTAAACTCTCAGCTTTCCAAAATTTTATCTATAATGTATCTCGAGCAGAAAAAGAGAAGGCAGTCATATCATGTTTCATCTTATTGATTCTAGAAACTATCCATGATTAGATCTCAAAACAGGCCTAAACTCTTACTTCTACATGCTTTAGAAGAGAAAAGAAATACTCTTAGATGCAATCCAAAGTGATGCAGATTAGAGGAAAGAAGAGAAACACCTCTTAATGCATACTCAAAGCAAAAATCTAGGACAAACTTAAGAAAACACAAACTTAAGAAAACACCTTCCTATAGAAACTTTCCTCCCAAAAGCTTTGAGAAACAACAACCACGAGAAACATCAACCAACAAACACCTGAATCTCCCCTCTTTCTCTCAAAACTTTCAACTACCCTTGGTAATCAAACACACAACCAAGCAAGAATATGAAGCCGACAAGCAAGAAAGCAAGAGTACCGAGCAACCCAGAAGGAATGTCGAGTAACTGAACAGGAAGTTTGCGCCAAGCCAAACTTTTAGCAGCACCTCCACCCTTTTTTCAATTTTTGGCCAACCCAGAACCTTACCCTAGGTAGGATTTTATATGCAAAAGAGAGAGGAGCAGCCACCTACCAGCTCTAAGGTGGTCGAATCAGGCAACAGGAGCATTTAGGGAGTGAGAGAAGCGACAACCTCAAGAAGGAGGAAGGTCGGCCAGCCGACATTTTCTGATTGGAGAGCCACTCGGTTGAGCGGCTACGCAAAGAAGAAGAGTCAGGAGCGGAGGAGGAAGCCGCGTGGATCGCTCGCGAGATCTAGGGCTCGCACAAGAGGGACGCCGTTGCGGCTCTGGCAAGAAGCGTCAGGAAGATTCGCGAATAGGAGAGGGGCATGGGAGCTAGGGCTCTTGCGCGACATAGGAGTGTACCTGGGCTGCGAGTCTGCGTGCGTGAGTGGGATTAAGTAGGGTCTCTCTTCTTTTATTATTATTATTATTATTATTATTATTATTATTATTATTATTATAGAAACTTTCCTCCCAAAAGCTTCGAGAAACATCAACCAACAAACACCTGAATCTCCCCTCTTTCTCTCAAAACTTTCAACTACCCTTGGTAATCAAACACACAACCAAGCAAGAATATGAAGCCGACAAGCAAGAGTACCGAGCAACCCAAAAGGAATGTCGAGTAACTGAACAAGAAGTTTGCGCCAAGCCAAACTTTTAGCAACACCTCCACCTTTTTTTCAATTTTTGGCCAACCCAGAACCTTACCCTTTTGATGTTCTGGACGCACTGATGCAGTCCGTTTTGTCATCAGAGGTTGTTCGAAGAAGTTCACATTTTCACCCTTTTTATGCTCAATTCTATTCCAACTTTGCGCAACTTAGTGGATTTTGTGTATTGTGTGTGAGTGCGTTGATAAAACCATAAAGAGGTTTTCCTAGGGCTTGAGATCCTATTGGGAACTTCTCTTTGATTTCTCACATGTTGATCCTTAACCACTCGACCAAAAGATGATGGTTTGAGACCACCAAGGTGAGACCCCACAAGAGAATCAAGAAGTGGTTCAAATTTCTAAAAAGGGTGGGTCCCAGTTCTAGTCCTCTAAGATAATCGATAGGAAAGTCCTATGACTAGATCCTAGGCTCTATAAAGAGGAAGGAAATACCTCACAAAAATGAGGTAAACAAAAATTAAAAATACACTTTTTTCAAACTTTTTTAGTATGATTAAGACACTAAAGTGTTATATGTAAGTAAATATCAAATATATAAATACAAAAATTGTGTGATGTGTGTAATGTGTCTTAGCAAAGGGGATTTATATACACACACACACATTTCCTAGTGACGCACCTCCAACAAATGTCAGTCATCCAACATGAATTTTGGGGCATGTCATGGATACCGAAGCAACTTTTTATGCAAGGAATGTTCATACTTCAATTAAAGAGTCGTCTATAGCTCTCATTTCAGCTAATTTATAGTAAAACTGTCCTGCTCGACGATATGGACCTAATGATATCAACATTGATCAATTCTAAATCAAGCTGAACCTCGATCAAGCATTTAAACAGCTTTTGGAAGCTTTTTGAACACGTTTGGAAGGTCAAATCGATGTTGAATCTGGCGAGCTTACAGTCGAATTGAGTGTTTAGATAAGATGAATCCAATGAGCCCAAGATTGTTTAATTCTGACTTCTTTAAGACACTTAAATATCCATCAGAACCTCTTCGGGTCGTCCGATCAGAGCGGTTAAATTCTCTCATGTATCGCATTCAGAAGTTTATAAATAGAGCCACACCTTTCTCATGAGGGGAGAGAGCTTCAAATTTAGAGGAGCTGAAGTTCAGCATCACCTCGTCGCTGAACGCTAACCACCAGTCGTCCAACGCCGCCGACCATCTCTCATCGGTTGTCGCAGATCACCATCGGCCGTCGCTCACTTCTTACAACAAGTTTATTCATGCATTGACGCTGCAACTCTGAAAAGTGTTCAACTCTTTCTTGCTTGTGGGAAAGAAGTTGTACATGAAATATCCATTTTATAATGGATTTCTTCAGCGGGATTAGACTCCAAAGTTTTTTCCCTTTTTGAATTTTTCACGTAAAACACTTATGGTGTTTCTATTGATTGTTTATTTTATCTGAGTATGTGTTGAATTCTCGTGCAATGCTAAGACGATAATTTATTACTCTACTACTGTGAATTCTCTAGCACGCATCACTTACCTTTTTCCATTACTGTGAATTCTCTAGCACGCATCACTTACCTTTTTCCATTTTGAACACATAAACTTCAATATTTACTTATATATCATCAAGAACCTTAACATAACCTCAAAAACATCATTAAGATTAATTTTTTTCAATCAAAATACATTTTTATGCATATATTTTAATGTGATTATGACACTAAAATGTTATGCATGAGTAAATATTAAATTTTAAATGTTAGATACATAAATACATAATAATTATGTCACATGCATGTAATGTATTTCAGCAACATGAGCATTGCATATAAATACTACTAGAATAGCTATAGCACTGATGAATCATATGACATGACACTTAACATCCTGAAAATGGCATTGTTGCACTGATAAACTGTCTACTCAAGCTTTTAATATACATTGTTTTTTCAAATTTTCTTTTTGGATATATTTGCAAAATAAACTTATTATTATTATTGTTTTTTGTAATGAGCAGGTAATGCTATCCATTGCACTTTAAAGTGCTATAACTACTGTTTCATACAAATGTAAACTGTTTTAGACTGTAATATACTTACCATTTTTCTACAGTTGAGCTTTTCTCAGGTATTGCAAATTTGGGTTTTTGTTGTTTGGGATTGGGCAGAAATGTCATTTTGACTTTTCTTTTGGTAAGGTTGTAAATATGTCTACTGTGTGTTAAGTAGAGCTTGTAAATATAATAATGTGTTGCTAAAATTTAATTATGTTTGTTTATTTGGATAATTAAATAGATATGAATGTAACTGGGACTGTAAAAAAGAAGAAGCTCGTCTCGTGTTCTGCTCGCTAAAGAGCTCGTGTTTGATTCGTTCATGAGCAAATTGAGTCAAACACAAACAAAATTTCTGAGCTCGATTTATAAACGAGCTGAACAAATATAAACTTTGGTTTGATCGTGTTTGGCTTTTTTTTTTACTCGAATTGATTAAAAAGTAAATAAATAATATTGAAAAATTAAAATAACATCATCTTTGATATGATATGATATGTAAGTAGATAGGAATTGGGTGTTATTTATGTAAATGGAACTAATTTTCGCTGATTGTTCCTCTTTTGTTGATTTTTTTTTTTTTTTGCCACCTCACCTTTCCGGCCGACCTTCGTTTAATCCTGCGTCGAGAACAATAATTTTTTCTTAGTTTATCGAGCAGAAAACGATTCTATTATATTTTGAAGCTATCGAGCCGAACATAAATAGGTTATTCAAAAGTCATCTCAATCATGAGCCGAACAGTAAAAACAAAAAATTCAAATAAGTCGAACTGAAAGAAGCTTTGGGCTAGCTCAATTTTGACTCATTCACACCACTAAATGTAATTGAATCAGTTTGAATATTATATTGCAGTCATGCAAACATAATCACTTAAACTAAGGGTTTATTTGAGGCAGATGTAGCTTATTAAATAATCTGCTCATAAGCTAGGTGCAGTGACTATTAGAAATTTTTATTTTTTTTTGCAAGCCCGCTTCTAGAAAGCTGCCACCGCACCTGGATAGGTGCAGTGTGAAAAGATTGCTTTCAGTATTTTCAAAATGCATAAGTTGTCAAAATGCAGTTTACCCAAACAGTCCAGGTGCGTTTTCAAAAGGCCATAACAATTTAATATTTTAGTATGCAAGGAAACTAAGAATAATTTAATGGCATATAAGAGCCTTTTTCGAAGTTTAATTTTACTCATTTACCTTAGGAAGATTTACATGCATGCCCCTCACTCAATGCTCAAGTATTTATATATTCGACACCTAAATTTTATTTTAACATAAATATCACTTTATTATTTGAGTTTTTAAATATTAAAATGGTGATATTTTTTTTATGTGATACAAGGATTTGGGGGTATAAATGTTAAAATTAAGGTTTTGGTGTTAGATATGTAAATACATAGGAATTGGGTGGTCTGTTTGTAAATGCTATCCTCTCTCTCTCTCTCTCTCTATATATATATAAGTAACACCTAAATTTTATTTTTTACATTTATAGCACCCAAATATTTCACATCATATTAAAAAAAAAAGACATCGCTTTAAATTTAAAAAGGTGAAACACACCTTTTCATGCATATAAAAGGTGGTATGTTTGAAAAAAAAAATAAAATTTTGGTGTTAGATGTGTAAATATAGAGGAATTATATGCTATGTATGTAAATCTTCCTAAAATTAAAGAATATTGAATATTTCCGAGAGATCACAAGAGAGAAACCACCAAGTAGGATCCTCTTTGATGAACTTCATAACTCAAATCTAGTTTTCATCTTGAAAACCATATACCTTAAAGATTTAATTTAGAATTAGAATCATATAAATACCAAATGAGTTTGCTAAGTGTACACCTAAAATAAGACCACACGTATTTAGGGAAGGCTTGCACATGGGTGAGATATAATGCATGGGTCTCGAAGGCTCATATCAGTGAATCATACTAAGCCCGCATGCAGAAGTGGTCGAGCAAAGCCCACGTGTCGAATTGGTCAAGCTAAGACCGCCTGCTGAAGTGGTCGAATTGGTTTGTGGCAAGCATGCTTATGGAGAAAATCATCATCACAAAAGTGGACATGAGTTCATCATAATTTATAGTGACACCTGACATCCACTTAGCAGTTTTTTCACTAAGACGTCGTAAACAATTGTAGTACAGTGCGTAATGTAATGTAATCTTATATTTCTTCTCTCTCATGTATAGAAGAGAGGTCGGAGGGGTTTGAAGGGAGATTTCTCTCTTTTTTTCTCTCACTCTCTAAAAGCAATTCTCTCCTTACAAAACATAGAGTAGAAACACAAGCGCTAACAATACATCCATGATTTTCTTCCATACATTCTTCCTAAAAACTGTGTCTCTATCGAGTTGCATGAGCTCACAAACAATACGAGTCCAGAGGGGTTTGGAGGGAGATTTCTCTCTTTTTTCTCTCATTCTCTAAAAACAATTCTCTCCTTAGAAAGCTTAGAGTAGAAACACAAGCACTAACAATACATCCATGATTTTCTCCCATACATTCTTCCTAAAAACTGTGTCTTTATCGAGTTGCATGAGCTCACAAACAATACGAGTCCTTAAGTCTCAAAAGGATTCAACACTAAGATAGATACTAAAAAAAACTAATTTGATGGTCATATGTATGATCAATATACAAACTTTTTGTATTATTTTAGATATGTATATACAATTCATAATTTCTATGCATAATTTTGAGAAACATCAATTCTTCTCATTTCTTTATTTAACAGATGCTTTTAGTCAAAACTAAGCTCTAAAATAATTAAAAAATCTACATGTTTTTCTCTATTGTATTCTCCTTATTGTTATGAGAAGATAGCCTTATAACTTTATTTTCGACGGATTTTTCCTCACCCCTTTTTGTCCCTCCTCACACCCTATAACAAATTTATGCTATAAACCGAAACATTAAAATCCAATAATTATAAATAATATAATGCAAATACCTTCTTCTTTTATTTTAAAGAAAAATAACATCAAGTAATATGAATCACATAATCAAAAGCACATGAGATTTAAGTAGAAAAAATCCGTAAATGATAAAAAAGTTATGGGAGAGCCGGAGAAAAACTTCACTGATCAAATGAAGGTAGTCGGCTATTAAGCCGAATTCAAAACCTCTTGGTTTCTTGCTTAATTTCACACACACACTCAACCTATGACATATAATGAGTACTTACTGATGCATGCTAAATAGTTCACGGAAGTAGAGTAATGAATTTTTGTTTTAGCATTGCACGAGAATCCAACACACACTCATATAATGAAAGTTATAAGTAGAGCCTCCAAAAGTTTTGTGGAAAACCCGAAAAGAAAAAAAATCACGGGGTTCGACCCAATAAAAATAAAACATAACTCATTATAGCTTGATTAGTACTTGTACATACCCTTATTCCACTGACGGGAAATGGTCACAGAGTTGTAGTGTTTATATGCAGGAGGTTCGTTGAACAACGATCATAAGCGGTTGTAGTTGTCGAAACTTTGATACATCGTCTTCGAAGCACGTCACTACATGGTGTTTGGAACAATGTGCTGCTCCGTAGAGTGTTCCGCTACTCCGTGAAGTTAGCCGCTTCTCCGTGACATTGGCCGATACTCCATCATATTAGCTGCAACTCTGCACAGTGCTTCGTCACTCTGCAATGTTGATGCTACTCCGCTCAACACTTAGTTACTCTACAACATTTTTCGTTGTTCAACAAGATGTTTCACTGATCTACGACATTGGTCTTTGTTCAGAAAGGTCTTCATTACTTGAAAATATGTAGAAGGCAACTGATAAATGGCCGACGACGGTGGTCGGCTATGATAGGATCTTGAAGCATTCGTTAGATCTTCGATGCAGAACAATGGACTTCAGCTTATTTTCCCTTTAATCTTTTTCCAAACTAAGATCTTAGTCCCTCTTTCATGAAAGGGGTAGATCTCTATTTATAGAGTCAGACAGCGGCCTCCGGAAAAAAAAAAGAAAAGAAGGAAAAAAAAGATACGAGGGAAGTTTATTTGAGTTAGAAAGCATAAAGAATTTGTAACTCCATGAGCGATTTGCCAAAGATAGGGGAAAACTCCGATGGAGGAAATTTTAAATGAGTTCGTCTAAGCCCATGCCATCCATATAGTTGGTATAGTTCATGCCATCTTTAGAGGAGTTGGAGACTCATCCTACCGAGAAGTCTGCGGAGGTTTCATTCAGGTGTGCTAAGTGCAGTCGCAATCTCTCTCTGACGCAACTCACAATCCCCCTATCGCTTTTACTAACAAAAATCTGCACCCCCCAAGGGAAATCCCTACAATGGAGGCATTGTCATTTCGACGTTGATCAACAACTACTAGATAAGTAGCATCATTATGGACATCGACAACTCAATGAATATCATGTTTAAAGTAGTATTTGATAATATGGGACTTAAAAATAATCAGTTGACTAATGCAGCGGGTTCACACTATGACTTTTCTGACAAAAGGATGGAAGTCTTGAGAACTATTGCCTTTTCACTTACATAAAGGAAAATGACAAACAATTCATTGAAATTGAGGATTTCTTGGTGGTTGACTCGTTGTCAACTTATAACGATATCTTTGGTTGTCCTCTACTCAATAATTTCAAGGTTGCTACCTCATTATACCACATAGTAGTAATTTTTTTTGGTAAAGGAGAGGTGATCACCATATGAGGAAACCTAAAGCAATCTCTCACTTGCTATCTCTAGATGGTCATAAGTGTTGATAAGGAGCCATGCAAGATCGAGAATATGCGCGAGGGAGGTCTCAAGTCCAATAAGGCCACTCATCAAGTTCCGACGATCGAAGGAGGGCCATTAATTTTTTCCTAATCAGTAAAACTTTTGATGCATGGTTGAGAGAAGTGCTGATCAAAATCCTGTGAGGCCACCAGGACATCTTTGTCTGGTCTGCAACTAAGATGTCGGGGATTCTAATCAATGTTTCCTATCATCACCTGAATGTTAATCTAGCGATTTTTTCCATGAAATAAAATATAAGGTCATTGACTTTCATTATAATCAAGCTAATCATAGCAGAAGTACAAAAGCTCTAGTATGTTGGCTACATTCGAGAAGTCCAATGCCTGAATTGGGCATCAAACATGGTAATGATGCATAAATCAAATGACAAATGGTTGTTGTGTATGGATTTCACAAATCTGAACACCGTACGCCTAAAAAACAAATACACTTTGCTTCAGATTGACGATCTTGCGGATTCATTGGTCGGCTTCATCAATG